TGTTTGAAAATGCAAAAAAGTGAAAGTATTTATTATTGATATCAGCCACAGCAAGATGTTAGTTATTGGTTATCGTGTTGATCCAGAAATTCTTTATTGAAACCTCTCTGGTGGTATTTAAAAAACAGCTGTAATCTTTTGTATCCATGCTTTATATTCAAACTCACAATCTCTGAAAGAGCAATAAGAGAAAACAAACCTGGGCAGCTGGAAATGAATGGAAGGCTTAGAAGCTCTGACAGTGCTGCACATTCTGTTGTTTCAGAAAAGCAAGGAAATTTGGTTTTGCTCGTCAGACCTACCTAAAAAAATTACTTCATGTGGTAAAAAATAAATTAACTAGTTTTCAACTATTAACTAGTTTCAACCTGAAGAAATACTTTAAATAAACAATTCTTCAATAATATAATTTTTGAGGTGAATAAATCTAGTTCAATTGCTTTTTACTACATGAAGTCATTTTTTAGGTAGATCTGATGAGCCACTTTTTACAGTGTAGAGGGCCTTGAAAATCTGACTTTCCGCTCTTTATTTGAGGTTGAAAAACATGAAAATGTCACAGTTCTAAAGCTTATTGGAGTAAAATTTCTAAAATATAGATATAAAATTAAATCAGCTGTTGTTATCAGTTGTCAGACTTTCTAGACTAATAAAAAACAGATCGATGTTGGCCAAAAATGTTTATGTCAGCCAGTCTAGTGTTTTGATAGTCCTGCCCTAATAAACTCTCTTTGTGCTCCACTGTCTCAGTCTCTCCTGTGGTCCTCTTCCAGTGGGGTTTGGGGTTGTTGTGGTGCGTTTGATGAGCGTTTGATGATCGTTGTAGGAATGTTTCCGTGACCCAGTTCAGTCAGGACTCTGCTGCTGTTGATGATGATGGTGATGATGGTGATGATGCAGAAGAGTCTCTCCCTCTCTGCCCCCCCAAACTCTCTTTCTCTCTTTCTCTCTCTGCATTCTGCTGATTAATAATTAAGTGTTTCAGTTTTTGCCTGTTTCCAAGCGGGAGAACGATTCAAAGCAGGCGCTGGGGATGAAGGGAAGCTGAGAGATGAAGAGAGGGAGCGAGGGAATGAGAGAAAAAAGGGAGGGAGATGCTCGTGCTGCGTCAGTGGGTGTGCCGGAGCTGCCTCATTAGTCCTGTTTTGGAACTGGAGCAAGGACACTTGCTTTTGCGAGTGTGTGTGTGTGTGTGTGTGTGTGTGTGTTTGTCGTGTGGTCTTGAGGGGCCGATCTTCAGGAGGTTTTCGAGCTGTCTTTGAACCTCCAGGAGCTTTAGAACAGAGAATAGAGAGAGGACTGCTGCAATATCTGCAGTCTCTCCAGTAACAGCTTTATTTTTCTGGCGCAGGTAGAAGTGTGGTATCCTGCAGTGAAGGCTTCCCTATTATAGCATGAATGCTGATGGTGGATCCTACTGAAACAGTTTATATACACTACAGGCAAAAAATACGAAAGTGAACAGTTTGTTTGTTTATTTATTTATTTATTTATTATTTTACAACCATTTCAGTCTGCTAACATGGCCCAACATGGTTATATGTATACACATTTTGAAGCAACATATACAGCTGGCTGCAGTCCAGAACAGCCTCTTATTGAAAACATATGGCTCATTATCAAGTGCAGTAAATGACATTGAGTGACAATTGGCTTTCAAACAATTTGAGCAGCAGTAGATCAACACTGGGTGAAGAAGTCCTATGATGGAAATCAGACCAGAGATTATTAGAATCTCAGTCCACATAGAATATCAAGAGGGCATACCATGCTCAGTAGCTTCTTCATTATAGGTTTGATACCAGATTGTAACATGACATCATGTTTGATACGCAGAATACAGCAAAACAATAGAAGCAGAGAGTATAACTAAGAAATAATTGATTTTTTTGCCTTTTGTCATCTTTTGTTGAGGAGGTAACATTTCGTTGTACATTCTGTGTCTGTGCATGCTAATAATTGTGAAAGGTTAATTTGGTCTCACTTTATTTGAATAGTCCACTATAGTCCCTGTGGTGTGCATGAGGCAAGTTAAAGTGGCCTTGCTGCGGGACTGGAGGCAGTGCCCAGGACTCACGCGCTGTCCCCCACTCACTCGCGGTTCTGCTCCCCCATCCGTCCTCACAGGGCTTTGTCCTCACTTGGGGTCCGGGCCATGCCTTCCTGCCAGCTCTCATGGTTGTCATCGGGGCCCAGGGGATGGCCACATGCCACAGTCCCCTATAGATCATCTACAGATGTTCGAATTGTTAACAAACTATCTGTTATAACTCTTGTTATATATAAATTGGTGGGGTTAGGGCTAGGAGTTGGACCAGGGTTAGGGTTGGACCAGAGTGAGGGTCGAGTTTTGATTTTGGGTTGAGGTTAATGTTAGGGTTAAGATTAGAGCCAGGTTTAGAGTTAAAGACAATTCTGGTCAATTTAGTACATATTTAATTGAATGTAACTTGAAAGTAAATGAAGTACTTACAAAGCGTCTAAAGTGGACTATCCAAATAAAGTGTTACCGTTAAATTAATTTAAATTTTTGTCGTCAGCTATTTTTTGTCTTATTGAAAGCTTATTTTGTCAGTAATAAAACTGTATTTCTTTATTATGTTTATTCAAAAGCATAAAAAAATATGTTTTTGGTTTTAGTTTTGGTCAAGCGTGTCTTATTTTTTATTTATTTATTTTTTTGGTGCATCAAAGTGTTCACAGTTTGATTTGCCTTTAGGCAGAATATAAAAAAAAAACAAAGAATTAAAATCACTTTATTACATTAAAAAAAAACAAAAAACTTTAATCTATTGATTTTGACTAAAATGACTCAGTTAACTGGATAACACCTCTCTGCAGAATCCTTCTTCCAACACTTCGTGGAGGAGGAAGAGAAGGGTGGAGTTAGTCAGTAATTCTGTAGACATGTTGGCGCTGACCCAACACTTGCAAGAGTTCTTTCAACGCGCCTCTGTTCTCAGAGAGAGAGAGAGAGAGAGAGAGAGAGAGAGAGAGAGAGAGAGAGAGAGAGAGAGTATTTACAGAGCTGTGTGTCAGCGTGCTATTTTCTTAAACACACACTCGTCCTCCTGTTAGTGGAGCTATATTTGAGAGAGAGAGAGTGAAAGAGGGTGGATGTGATGATAGCTTCCACATTTATTTCTGTCTGTTTGACTTTTTTTTTTCACTGCTACTGTGTAGGAACATCTCTACTGTCTGTTTCTTTGATGGAATCCTTTTCAGTGTCCGTCCAAGCAAGAAACACTCAATGTGTTCTAGCGCAATACACAATACAGTTTCCTAAAAAAATAACAATTGTGTCCATTTTTTGTTCATATTAGGGCTACAACTGTTGAATATTTTTATTTTCGAATATTCTATTGAATTTTATCTTAAATGTTTGAATATTCTATGAGAGAGAGAAAAGCTCTAAATGTTCCATTTAAATGATTGAAAGAAAAAAATCTAAGTGCTGCTTCTTCTTGTGATGTTATTTATTATTTTTGTAAACTGTTATGGGTATTATTATTGTTGGTTTGTTTTTGTACTGCTATTGCATAGGTTTCTATTGATTCACAGTCATATGCAAATTTTTAAGCTTTTCCAGTCAAATTGACAAGTTTTGTTAATAAGTGAAAATAAGTGAGCGCTTCCTCTGCAGAGAACACAGTTAAATATGACATGTTTCTGCAAATATTAGTGCACAATTTCTACTTATTTATATATATATATATAAAATATAACATACACCATAACTTTTCCACAGGACATGTTATGTTTATTTTCTTTAATATAATTTCCATGATACACAGTGTGATATTTATTTGCTGACATCTGATGAGTTAAAACAGACAAAAAAATAAGTACTATTGAAAACTAAAAATACAACGATTTATATTCAACTTTTCACTTTCTGTGCTGCACTGAATCCAACTGAACACAACTAATGATGGTCTCTTTGTAATTAAACATGCAGTTGTTCAGTGCTCTAGAAGTACCTACAGGTATACACGATATGCTGGAAGTGTATATTGTGATATATTGAAATATATTTTATCACAATAACGATAAATATCATCATATTGCCCAGCCCTGCTGACCACTGCGTGCCACTGGGGAAACATAGTTTACCCCATGGAAGTGCCTCTTTTCATATAAGTGATAATTGACTAGTTGAATTTGTTACTATTTTCAAGTATTTCAGTTATGAAATTTATCAGATATTATTGGATATTTGTTGTTCATATTGTGATGACTGTGTGTCCTACGTTGATCAAAGTGTGTAGCAACAGCGCTGAGTCAGAATGTGTGCTCGTCTGTGATTCAGAAAGTTCACAGATCACTTTGGTGGGAAAGTATTTCACTAGTTTGCAGAATCTTAAACAGACCGATAAATCATCTGTTCCGCTTAAAGCCTGCTTGCAGTTACAGTAATTGCTGGAGTCAAATTACCCATTATTACCCAAAGGATCATTAAAGGGCCCATATCCTAAATTGTTCTTGTGTTTTATTTTTATTTACTTATTTTGTTCCACCTGATGTCCACTTATGATGTTTGTGTGGGTTTTTGTATGCGAAACAGTCGTCATTCATTTCTACGTGACTGTTTTCAAAGTTCTCTTTATCCTAGAATTAAACAGACATTACTGTGCATGTAAGACTAATATATGTAAATCATATCTGTTCTGATTGGCTGCCCTGTATTGTTCCTCATTACAATGCAGTTCAGTCTGAAAAATTCTGTATAACTTTCCGATGGATGTATGTAAATGTGTTTGATTTTGGTGACATCACAAAAACTTGAGCTGTTTTTGCAACTTGGTTTCAGTGACAGTAAACTAGACCACAAGCTTGAGAATGCAGGGTTAGAAGCAGTTTACAACTGTCTCATCCTTTTTAACTGGAATGTGGGAGTCAATGTGTGCACTGTATCTATGCCTTATTCATTGAAACTAACTCCCATCCCTCTCTCATATCCCCACCCCCCCCCACTTTCTCTCTCTTTTTCTCTCTCTCAGTCCAGATGACATTGGCAGCTGCTGGTACATTTTGCTGTCTGGATCTGTGTTCATCAAAGAGTCCATGTTCCTGCCTAGATCCAGGTATGTCCTCAAGCATTATAAAGCACCATCATGTGACCTCTGCTTTGAAATTTGGAGTGCAATACCCTGTTGGATCCCAGGGTTCTGTGTACTCACTGACAGGGCTGCACGATGGGGACGGAATACTAGTTCCTGCGATCACACTGCTACATATTGCGATCATAAGAATATCTTGCAGTAGTTTTGACATAGCTTTTAACATGTTTGGTTTGGATAGTTTGGCCTGTTAAACAGACACAAACAGCATTTACAAAAAGGAAACTTGCTACTGATTAATATAAAATAATATTGTTGAGGGACACATAAACAGTATATCATATATGCAGATATGCTAGGCTGCTAGTTAATACTACAGTAATATTACTTTGTTTTCAGTATGTGCAAAATGTAACATTTGGGATTTTTTTTTTAAATATAAATTGTGACCTTCCTAATGATTTTGACTATCACATGCTTCAAATATCTGTCCATTTTGGTAGTTTTGTATAGAAATAGAATATTCATTTGTATAGTGTTGGGGAAACATTGAGATTCAGGAATTACAGCCATTTTACATAGTCTCTCAATTTTCACAGGCTCAAAAGTAGTTTGACAGGTGACTGATAAGCAGTTTCACGGCCAGGAGTGGCCAAATCAACAATTTGGCACATTCTTAAAAAGAATGAATGTAAATACAGATAATTTACCTAAAGATTCGAACGACCTGTAACACTCAAGAACTGAAAGGCCAGATTGGACTTTGCTAGAAAACATCTAAAAAGTCTGCCCAGCTCTGGACCAAGATTCTTTAGACCATGGACCAAGATTCTTTAGGCCAAAAATAACTTGTACCAGACAGTACAAAAGATGTGTGTAGAGAAGAAAGGAAGAGCTCATGATCTAAAGCGTACCACATCATCCGTCAAACATGGTGGAGGTAGTGTTATGGCATGGGCATGTATGGCTGCCAATGGAACTGGGTCACTGGTGTTTACTGATGATATGACTGCTGATAGAAGCCGCAGGATGAGCTGCATTTTCTGCTCAGATTCAGTCAAATGCTGCAAAACAAGCAGCAGCTGAAGGCAGCTGTATTAAAGACCTCACAAAGCATCTCAAGGGTGGAAACTAAGCATTTGATGTCCATGGGTTAAGACTTCAGGCAGTCATTGCCTGCAAAGGATTTGCATGTAAATATGAAAAGTAATCATTGTATTAGGAATTATGTTAAGTTTGTCTAATGACTTTTAAGCCTGTGAAAATGGAGGGACAATGTAAAACATGGCTGTAGTTCTTAAACAGTTATTGCAATATTTTTGTTAAACCCACTGAATTAAAGCTGAGAATCTACACTTCAATTACATTCTGATTGCTTCATTTCAAATCCATTGTGGCAGTGTACTAAGGAAAAATTACAGAAATTGTGTCACTGTCCAAATACTTATGGACCTGACTATATATATATATATATATATATATGCTTTAAGTGTACTGTTGTGCTTAAAATGTACTGGGTAACATCTAAAAATAATCAGTGTATGTGTATGTATATATATATATATATATATATATATATACACACACACACACACACACACACACACACACACATCTTTTTAAACTAGAAAAAAATGTGCTATATATATATATATATATATATATATATATATATATATATATATATATATATATATACTATTTTGGAGAGGGTTCTTTTTCTTTGAACAGCAATGATGTATAGTTCAGCCCTTATCTGTATCTTTTAGCATGTCCTCTGAAGCATCCATTAGTCATACCAGCAGTTTACTTGGGAGGTGATTACAGCTGTGTACTATGTGTCTGCTGCCTGTGAGGTCTTCTCACAGCACTGAGTGTTCCTCTTCTAAATGCAGTACTCATGTGTGGCAAGAGGTGCACGGAAATAATATCTGGCATGGATTTCATAGCATGCAGTTTAAATGACTTCAAAAAGGCCACTGCAGCCCGTATGTTCACACTCCGGTCAGTGTTCCTCTAAGCCTGAACAAGTCCAAGCAATCCAAGCCACATGACAGATTATAGTCACAGTGACTTCACTCTCAAACACACAGTCACACGCAGAGCCAATCAGATCAGCCTCCACTGTAGTAAACCTCTCAGGTTAGAAGTAGAGGAAGAGAGAGAGGAGATACAGATCGCGTTTGGCAGGAGGCCATACTGTAGCACGATGCACAGAAAAGGCTTATGCGTTTAGGATTTTTGTGATATTTAAGGATTTAAGTGTTCATGCTGCAGCTTTTACAGAGTGGCAAGTAAATGAGCTTGTTTTTTTTGTTAGCTTCCAATAACTTAGTCTATTAAAGACTTATAGCACCACTAGCGGTCATGTGCACAAAGGGCAGTTTTAAGTTTCAAACCCATGAATGCCATGTCTGTAGAAGCACGTTGCAGAAACGTGCATGTGCAGGATCACATCATTCATCATGTAAACCAAGCTTTCATTTGCCTAATATATGCTGTTGATTTGTTATATTAGCTCAGGCTGGTGTTACATGGTGCAACCTTAACTACAATTAGTTGCATGTTGTAAGCATGCAACACAATTTCTGTGCAGTTTGACAGATGCACAAAGCAATTCAATAATGATCACAGAACAAATGTAAAATCACCAACCACGAGTCAGCTGGGGGGGGTCTCCCTATTTGATCTTCTGTTTTTTGTCCACCTGTTTGAAAGTATGATGTTCAGTGTGATCATGTGACGCATTACTGCGATTTTCATTTGCTGAAACCTGTTCATTAGACTTGTTTCATGAAGTTGAGACGCTTGCAACTGTTCTGGCTGAAATTCAAATGAGTTGCTGGCCGCTCAAGCGCTATTTAGTTCCATGTAGGTTTCAAGCAACTAAAGTTACATGAAGCTTTCACCGTGTAAAGCCAGCATTCATCTCATTCAGAGATACAAGCCTATATTTTATCATTTAATGTTTTAAGTCATAAACTGACCAAGAAGACATGCCCATGATCCCAGACATTTAATTGACAGTGCTCTCAAATTCTATTCACAGCGTTTAAAACTATGACTCATACCTGTATTGTACTCTCCAAGCTTCATTGTACTCACTCCCAGTTTGATAAGGAATTTGCTGGTGTAGGGACATGTCTGTTGCGTTCTATAATATCTGTATGATGATATTCACGCTGTAGGCAGTGATTAGGATATTTTATAATTTTCACACTGTTATATGAGCACCTTTCAAAGTACAAACACCTTTTAATGCGTTACTGTTAATCCCTGCTGAGATGATCTGTTTTTATCATGCTGTAGAAAAAGAGTGATTGTTTCACTCTTTGTCTCAATAGTGCCAGTGGCCTGTGGTGAGTTTGAATTTTCTCACCTGCAAAGACATCTTTATATACCTCACAACATCAGAACGATTTATTTTTAGAGTTTTTCTGCTGTTAAACGTGTCAAATAAAACTGCACATTTAGAGACATTTGACAGCATCTAACCTCCTTAGCTTCACAATATGGACCACATTGTGATTATATGTGATTATACATTTTGAATGTGTTATGTTGTGCCATACATTCTTATGTCAAAAAAGATCTGGTTTGACCGTAATTGTTTGTTTTTTGTATAGGCTGAAGGGCTTCATTCTGAAAAAAAAATACCCTCAGAAAGTCTTCTAAAATCAAGATTCTCACTGCACACAGTCAGAAACTTTATGATTTGTCAGAGGGTTCATTTCCCTTTGTCAACCTTCTGTGATACTCATATTTCTAACATTGTATTATAGATGACTAAATGATAAATTGTGCAGCTCTAGCATCTAAAAGCATGCTGGTGTGCTTGTATGCTTGAGGTTAGTAAGAGCTGTTAGGCCTACCTTCACTTTGTGGGCCTAGTTTAAATGTTTAGCATTTCATCACTGTGGAAATGGAGGCTAAAAACTCTTTCTGTTCTCAAAATACATCTACCAAGAGCACAATTACGTAACACCCACCAGAATTACACAAAATAATGGGTTCCAAAGTGATGATTAGAATCGAGTTTTGAAACAGTGTCTGAAAATGGCAGCAAGAGGACCACCTGCTACTTGTGCCAGGGATTACGCAACAAGGTAGAGCTGAAAATAGGCATTTTCAGGCTCCGCCGCCAACAATGGCTTCTATTGTTTAGAGCACGATTTAACATGGTATTTGGTTTCCTCTATTGTTCGCTGTAGTAATTCACACTGTAAATGTTATGACAAGTTTTTCGTAATGCTTGGCTCATGGTAAAGGATTTTTTTTTTTTTTATCCTAATTTATAAAATGTGAGAGACCCCACACATAATGGCAGATTCCACTGAGTATTTTTCCGTAGCTGTTTTTTTGGTCATCAAATCCCTTGCAAAATTTGCCCTGAAGAAAAAACCCAACACATTCATTTAGCAGTGAAAAGTGAACGACATAGAAATAATGATTTCTAAACTGTTAAACATCAAATAAATCTTATCCTAATTTTTAATACATTGCAGTAAAGCCAGTATGGGCTGGGAAAATTAATGTACACTATTGTTAGCTTATGCAAACAATTTTAACACCCCTATATGTTTTGTTGATTTGTTGGTGAAAATAAGGTAACACATTCTCTACAGAGTACTAACTTAAATATGTCACGATTCTGCTAATTTTATTGCATGATTTCCATTTATTTGCTGCATTTAACATTATAAAAAGTAAAACAACCATATTTCATGCGGCATAACTTTGCCACATTTTATATTGCGTTTTTTTCCAGTAAATAGATTTCCAGCAAATAAACAGTAATTGTGCATTAAAGTGTGCAAAAGTGTGTTCTCTGTAGAGGATGTGTTAACTTATTTTCACTTAGAAAATAAACAAAACAAGCCATTTGCCCAGAGGTGCCCAAACATAGTCACACTATGTCCTAAACTACATTGAGAGATCTGTGTGACATTAATGAAGACCTGGATGCAGCTCGCTGTATTCATATTCCATTCATTTTACATTGAAAGAAAAACTTTTAAAAGTTT